CACACACACACACACACACCCCAAGCCATTGTCCCACCCACCCCAATTCGAACCCCTAAGAACAAGTTTGACAGTGTAAGGTACTATGGTAAACTTGTTTATTTGCCCCCCAGGTGCGAGTTGTATGGATTTTTTTTGCAAAATTTACGGATTTTTGAGGCTTTTTATACAGATAAACGCCCTAAGAGGTTGACATGTATGGGACAACAAAATACAGATTTGTTATTATTGAGTTTGTCAACATGAACCACTACCTGAGAGGCACTACTAGCCCCTCCCCCATCAGAGTGTCGGAGAGTGGGTGGGGGCGTTTGTTGCATGGGAGGGGGGTGTTTTATGGGAAGAGTAGTTTATTTTTCCTGTAATACTTCATTATAGTTTTTTAAGACAAATCTATTTGAAAGGGGCGCTGAGCAGAGTTACAACCAGGGATTACAAATAACTTTTTTTCTGCAGTTTGGCGCCCTCTCCAGCAGATGGCGCTCTAGGCGACCGCCTAGTTCGCCTATGCCAAGAGTCGGCTCTTGTGTGGTTGTGAGTTAGACGTTGTACATCAGGTATGTAAACAGGTAGTAGTGGTAATAATATTTAAAAAAAACAGTAACTTCAGTTATAAAATTACACCCCTTGTCTAAGTCCTACAAATCAAAGACAAAAAAGTAAAAAAGGCAGGGGTAGACATAAGGATATTTTTCAGGTTGTCCAGCAGACAACCTGTTTACAAAACCTGGTTGTCCGCAAAACATTTTGGTTGTCAAAAGAATCTCAAGAAAAATGTAATTTAACAAGTATATTGTTCTGTAAACAAAGTTTATTATATATAGTTGTTCTCAGTCAGCCAGGTTGAAAGGATCTGCGTGAATAAAACTTCCTCATTCTCTTCTTTGAAATGGAGTATTTAAGGCTCAGGGAGTAAAGCAGTAAAAATGCTGCTGATAAAATCTAGATGTTACCCAACTTTCATAAACTTTTTCTGCTCATAGGTCAAACATTTTCACTTAAATAGGAGTACACTGTGTACATGACCTTATTATAAGTTACAGTTTAGTGTTTCTGTTCGGCTTTGCCAAGTTTTTACTTACTTTCATTTTTACAAATGACGAACACCCACGGCAGAAAAATTTAATGAAGGTTTTTTTTTTCTTGGTTGTCCACCGGACAACCAGGAGACAGGATCTGGTTGTCCGAAATGAAAATAGGTTGTCTCGGACAGCCTAAACAATGGTTATGTCTACCCCTGAAAGGTGTTCAGTGCTCAAGGGATAAATGTCCACAACGAGGATCTACAGGGAGAAAACCCCCTTCTGTGTGTGCATMTAAGCTTTATAAACTCCTGTGTATTTACGCATAAAATCAGGWAATATATTCACATTCCTCCTCRTVCATGTTTCAAAGAAGGAAACTCAGGTTACAACATATGATTATGCATTGGACTGGGTTACAACCATCGTATCTCTCCTTTTTCGAGAGAGAAAATATATGCATGGGAATGATAAAATATATGTATATGAATGATAAAATATACGTATGTATGTGAGAGAAAAATATATGTACTGTATGTGAATGATAAAATATATGTGTAAGAAATAAAATAGAGTATAATCAGGTTTACCTTGCTGGGGTTCCTTCTGAGAAGTAATTGTATCACCAAATGCACGTCAGTTGGAACACTGGAAGGCAGAGAAGGGAGCTCTTTCTCCTGATAGTTGGTACTTTGCAAACCTACGGTCCGATAGAAGGGGTTCTGCTGTCCAAATATTTCATAGGAGATGGACCCCACAGCCCAGGCATCTGCTTTACTGTAGTCAATCACCACTCCGGTTCCTGGAACTGCGGTGGCCACCTGACAAGAGAAACAACATAAAGGATGGCAATGTGTGTAAGTAGATGGGTATAATGACTTTATTTAACCTGTTAACCCGCAATGTCCCACAAATGGTCCATTCCCAGTTTGTTACAGCCTCTTTATAGCCTGACRCACGCTGCCAAGGACTGGCCTCCATTTTGAAATGCTTTTGGTCAGAAAAGATGACAAATGGGTCATTTTGTGTCAAATCACCCAAAATTAACTAATTAACCCAACAACCGCAGCTTTTAATGAAAATTYGCATAGTTGTCAATTATGATCCCACAGCACAGTATCTGAAATTTTAAGTCAATCGAACCAGTGGTTCCAGAGATATAACCTCAAGTCTGTTCCTCTAAATGTGTTAAAACCTTTCTGTTTAATTTGGATATGTTCCACAGTGAATAAATATGGGTTTAAGTTTACATCACTATAACTATTATGTTTTAATTTGCATTTTACACAACATCCTAATGATTTTGGAGCTGTGGTGGCAAATAACAAATGTGCGTAAAGCAGTGGTGGATGCTGGTCTTTCAAGAAGAGGAAGCTGAGTTTCTGCCTGCATCATAAAATGTGTCGGTTTATAAATTCTACCATCCGTTCCTTTTCAAGAAAATGATCTGTGACCCTGTCACAGAAGTCCGTCTCCAAACATAAGCAGCTACAAAACAACCACCAGAAATAAAAACTCGATATGTCGCTAGTCATTTTTAACAAAGAAAATGCTGCTAAAAGGATTAATAAAGTCACCACTTCAACTCAGAACAGAAATAAAAGTTTAAAAAAAAGATTGCTGATTCGCTCATTTTGCTGTCAATCAAAAAGGGATTCAGCCTCAGACAGATCATCCAATCATCATGCAGAAGCTGAGCGTCTGGGCCAGCCAAGACCCGCCCACAGTCCCATAGACCCACAGAGACGCTGAGCGTCTGATGGGCGGGACAAAGCCAGCATTTATCCAATGACTCGGCTCATTTTGCTGCACTCTTTGCTTCACTACTGAACGCTGTGGACTCAGCATCCACACAGTTTAAAGCTGTGTGAAGCTGCAGGAATTAGAGAGAGGGAAGCTGCATCGTTACCAGTGATAAGAAGCTGATTCTGAACAAAGGTTGAGCTTGTTGTAGCGCATATTTAGTCAATGACATGAACACACAACAGTATATATTTGATCATTTTTTTTACATTTTAGGCGAAGCTGAGCTTCCCTTGCAGTCTTATGCTACATTCACACCAAATGCATTTTGAGCATCAGGAGTTGTTTTACATGCAAAGTCAATGGTGGATGTGCATCTAGGGGCGTCTAGAAACCGAGCAGCGSGTCTTGTGCATTTCGAGCAYTGCGGTTCGAAGCGGTGCACACGTCATGAACGTTTTCCGTGGGTGCGGCACGTCCCAAGCGTCCAGCGCTCAAGTTGGAAAATCTGAACTTTTGCTGCTCGACGAGTCGCATCAACCAATCAGAGACTCTGCTCAGTGACTTACTGGTGACGAGCCAGAAACACTGGAAATCCGGGAAATCAGATCACYCAAACAATGGAGGAAAAACTGATGGTCATATGAAAAAGTTTGGGCAGCCTTTTTAATTTTCCTGATTTACCTTTATAAATCATTGATTGTTTAGATAAAAAAAATCAGTTAAATATATCATATAGGGGACAAACACAGTGATATTTGAGAAGTGAAATGAAGTT